ACATACATACATACATACATACATACAGACAGACAGACAGACAGACAGACAGACAGACAGACAGACAGACAGACAGACAGACTTACATACATACATACATACATACACACACATACATACATACGTACATACATACATACATACATACGTACGTACGTACATACATACATACATACATACATACATACATACATACATACATGCATGCATGCATGCATGCATGCATGCATACATACACACATGCATGCATACATACATACATACATACATACATACATACATACATACATACATACATACATACATACATGCATGCATACATACATACATACACGCATACCTACATACATACATACATGCATGCATGCATGCATGCATGCATGCATGCATACATACATACATACATACATTCATACATACATACATACATACATACATACATACATACATGCATGCATGCATGCATGCATACATACAAACATGCATACATACACACATGCATACAGATGCACAGACGAGTGTGCAACTGCACGTCGTTCCTTCCTAGTCGTGCTCATTTCTGATTGTGCTCGTTCCTAAGTGTTCCCGGCCCCCTAGTGGCCAGGAAGAGGCCCAGGACAGAGCAATCAGAAATGAGGGATCTTGGCCCCCAAAAAAAATCAAAGGACTTCCGAGGAATTAGAGGTGAACCATGTGTATGTTTGTGCTATACTTGTGTACAGAGATTATGCACGCATGCATACATAGATACGTCGGAGGTCTGGGGAGGGCAGATGGAGGGAAGGAGGAGGGGTCCGCTCCGGAATGCGATCGCTTAGTTTACGTTGTGGGGCTCCGTCGTGAGACGACCCCGCTGCAGCCCCCCAGAAGTCGAGCCCGATCTGCTAGCGCTGAGGTGTTCTAAGCTGTGCGGAAGAAACAGAAAGAATAGAGAGCATAATACCCACCCCCATACGAAGCACCCCGACAAGCGAAGCCGTTTAGTAAACTCACCCACCCATGGAACAGATCGGACAGGGCAGGGCTGAATAGTAAACGCCCAGGGTCGTTTAGTAAACGCCAGTTGTCGGGGTCGGGGTGGTGTTTTTTCTCCCCTGAAAGAGGGGATGGGCGGCCGTAGTACAAGTCTCGTGGCGATTCACGCGACGCCGCCAGGCGGCCTCTGGCGATACGTCGTCACTGAGCGGTCCCTTCGTCAAAGTTGAGGCGCGTGCTGGGCATTTATCGTTGAGCGGACCCTGCAGAGTTGACGGGCGCGCTTGGCACTTGGCTGAGTGCCTCCCCGCCCGCGCACCTCGGTACGCTGGCTTCAATTTTGGGCGGCGGGGGCAAGCTCACGGCGGCGCGACTTTAGCTGCGCCTCGCTAGTTGTGACGAGACTTGCAGGGCTCCCGCTCCCTTGAGACGGCTCCGAGGACAGAGCTCGGCAAGGAGTTACTGCTCTTGACTGCCTGCGCAGGCAGATCACTACCAGACTTAACACGGTACGAGCTCCAGCAGAACGGGGGCCCAGAGGCCCCCGAGGCACCCCGGAGGAGCCTCACGAGGCTCCCACGGACGCGCGCCCAGACCGCTCCTGACGGGGCTCTTGCAATCCCATCCTCAACGTCATCTGCCGCCGTGACTCTGGGCACGGAGTGGGCGCGGCCTCAGTGTCCGCTGCCTCCTCCCCTGGAGCCCCCACCCTCAGCCCCGAGGAGTCCTTCGGGGGCCTGGCCCCAAAATTCCGAAAGTTGGCGGGGCCTGTCGCCGCATGCCCCCTGGGGCTCGGCGCGTGCCCCCCCTGGGCTCCCCCGCATCTTGTCGCGCAACCTGTTCGGGCCCAGGAGGGCCCGAGACGGGGCCGAGAGGGCCCGACCGACGGCCCCCCCCCAGGACTGCCCACGAGGCCCCCGAGTCGCCGAACTGTCGCTCCACAGTGCCCAAGGTGGCCTCAGGATGGCCCAAGAAGCCTCCAGGACGCCCCAAGAGGCTTCCCAGAGGCCTCCCAAGAGGGCCCCGAGAGACACAAATCATTGATTCCCTTGGGTTGTTGAAGGATTTTGGCGTTCTCGCCGTTTCTGTTCTCCGACGCTCCCAGACGGCCCAAGAGGCCCCCCAAGACCACCCCAAGACGGCGCAAGAGGTCTCCAAGAGTGCCCCAAGACGGCCTAAGGTCGCCCCGGCCCAAGAGGCGCCCAAGAGGCGCCCAAGACGGCCTCAGAGGGTCCCAAGACGGCCCCAGAAGGAGCCCAAGAGAGGGAACACGAACCGAAAACACGAGCCTTCAGCCCCAAGAGGCCCCCAGGAGGCTCCCAGAGGCGCCCAAGAGGCCCCAAGAGGCCCCCAAGAGGCCCCAAGAGGTCCCGAACCGACCCAAAAGAGGCCCCCAAAGGCCCCAACACGCCCCCAAGAGGCATCAAACCTGCCTCCAAGAGGCCCCCGAGAGGCCTCCCACGAGATCCCAACGAACATCCAACCGGCTTCATACCCACAACCCAGGCACGGTGGGGGGATGGGCCTAAGAGGCCATTAGGTCCGCCGCCCCCTGTTCGCTTGCCACCGGGGTACCTGGCGTGCTGAATCCCATGCTCGGGTTTGGGTTGTTTTTGGAAAAGAACCCCCCCTGAGGCTTCAGCCCTTTGGCTCTTTTTGCACAAGAACTGTTTGGCGCTGGCCACCTGGAAGGCTTGCCCAGAAGTGGCTGTAAACGGTTTCCCCGCTCCAGATGGCTCCAAGATGGCCCAAGATGGCCCCCAAGACGGCCAAGATGGCCTTCATTCTCGCCCAAGAGGGTCTAAGATGGCCTCCGCGAGGGCACAAGAGCGTCCAAGATGCCGCCAAGTGGCCCAAGAGGCCCCCAAAAGGTCTCCAAGATGGCCCAAGAGGCCTCCACGAGGGCATCCGGGAAGGCCGAAGAGGCAAACATCTGTAGGACATGTGCTTCCGTTCGGCCTTCCGACGGCCCGAGACGGCCCAAACAGCCCCCAAACATCGCCACAAGATCACCCAAGAGGCCTCGGGCACCAGAACGGCGCAAGAGGCCCCTAAGACGGCCCCAAGAGGGCCCCAAGACGGCCCAAGAGGCCTCCGAGACGCCCAAGATGGCCTCCAAGACGGCCGTGGAGCGTCCCAAGAGGGCCCCAAGTCGGCCCAGAGAAATCCCCAGGACGGCTTCTGACGGCGTCCGACGGGCCATGGGGCCACCAAGACAAGAGGGCCTCCAGGAAGGCCCAAAGAGGCAAAAATCAATGATTTGCCGCAGGTGTTTGAAAGATGTTGGCAGTTGCTTCGTGTCGGCCTTCTAACGGCCCGAGACGGCCCAAGAGCCCCCCAAGATCGCCCCAAGATCGCCCTAGAGGCCTCCAAGATGGCCCCAGAACGGCCCAAGAAGCCCCCAAAATGGCTCCAAGGAACCCCAAGGCGGCCTGAGAGGCCTCCGAGAAGCAAATATTGCCTCCAACACGGCCCTGGAGCACCCCAAGAGGACCGCAAGTCGGCCCAGAGAGACTCCCAAGACGGCTTCCGACGGCGTCCGACGGACCAGGAGCCCACCAAAACGGCCCAAGATGGCTCCAACGTGGCCCAAGACGGCCCAAGAGGCCCCCAAGAGATGGCCTACAGGAAGGCCCGAAGAGGCCAAGATTAATGATTTGCCTCAGGTGTTTGGGAGATTTGGGCAGTTGCTTGTTTTCGGCCATCCGACGGCCCGAGACTGCCCAAACAGCCCCCAAAAATCGCCCCAAGGTCGCCCTAGAGGTCTCCAAGATGGCCACAGAACGGCCCAAGACGCCCCCTGAGACGGCCCCAAGACCCCAAGACGGCCCAAGAGACCTCCGAGACGCCCAAGATGGCATCCAAGACGGCTCTGGAGCACCCCAAGAGTGCCCCAAGTCGGCCCAGAGAGGCCCCCAAGACGGCTTCCGATGGCTTCCGACTGGTCAGGAATGCCCTAAGACGGCCAAAAAGGCCCCCGAGAAGTCCCCAAAGGCCCCAAAGAGGTCCAAGGAGGCCCCCAAGATGCCTCAAAGAGGCTCCAAGGTGTCACCTCCTCCTCCTCCTCCTCATCCTCCTCCTCCTCCTGCTAGTCCTCCTCCTCCTCATCCCCCTCCTGATCTTCCCCCCCATCCTCCCTCGAGAGTTGCCCGAAAGGTTTCCACAACGGCTGGGGGAACACATGGTCCGATAGCTTGACAGAGCTCTTGCCACAAAGCTCGGCCACATGGGCGATTCCAAAAGGCAGTGGGCGGCAGTGACTCGCCGTAGGGGTTTTCAATACTGTTTTCACATGCGCGACCTCTCCGCCCAGCCATCCATCCACCCTCACTCTCCACAACCCTCTCCCACCGCTGCACTCTCCCGCCGACCACGCGCTGCATCTCCTGCACCCTCCCTCTCGAAATCGACTTTCATATCGCTCTTGTGTTTTCTCTCTCTCTCTCCCTCTCTCTCTCCCTCTTATATATATATGTGTCTCTCTCTACATATATGTCTCTCTCTGCGTGCATACGTATGTCTACCCATCTCGCCATGTATATGATCATCCTCTTCAACTAACAGCGACCCATGTCGGCTCGACTCAGCTCCGCTCGAGTGTCCGCTCCATCTCTCTGTCGAACGTGCTGACGGCGCTTCCCCGATTGCCTGGCGTCTGCAAACCCGCTCACGCGCAGTGAACATGGGACGCGAACAGCGGGACACGAGAAGCGGACGTGGCATGACGCTGCGACTCCCGACATCCCCCCCGGGGATCCCGCGCGCTCCTCCACGGACCGGCACCGACCGTGCAGCTGCCTCTCGATATCCCCGCCTGGGCGACGAAAATAAGGGGGCCTTACGCCAGATATCATGGCGACCCTACGCGCTGGCTCACGCGGGTCGCCAGCGTGGCACAACGAGTGGGAAGAGGGAGCGCGCACGCGCGACCTCACGCAGGCAACTCACGCGCGAATGCTCGCACGATGGGCCCCGTTCTCTTCCGTCGCTCCGAAGGCCCCCTTCCCGCAGCAAGCGAGCGAGACCTCACGGTGTCATCGTCGATGTCCGCAGGCAGCTCCCCTACCAGGATGGTCTCGGACGGCGTGCGCATGGCGCGCCCTGCCAAGGAGGGGCAAGCAGACACACCTTTGACTTCTGACTGCCACTCCAACCCTGGTATCGCTACCCCCCAGCTCTCACGCATCCGGCACCGTGTCGACCCCCCCTCCCCCCCACGCTAATCACGCATCTCCTGGCAGCGATGAGACCCTGTCGCATGGTGGCCGTCCAGATGAAGTCCTCCTCCTCCTCCAGTTTCCTCGATAAGATGTCGAAGGGCTGTCGAGTCCTCGCTGCATAACACTCACGCGGGGGAATTACGCATACGCTCTACACTGCACCTTAGCGGGCGCATTGACGTTGACCCCCTCATGCAGATGTGCTGTCTTGTCCTGTCCATCTGCTCCTCCTCCTCCTCCTCCTCCTCCTCCTCCTTCTCCATTCCTTTTTTTATAAACAACTCCTCTCTGTCGCACCCCGAGGCCAGTCGGAAAGGCGGCGTGTCGCCGGAGACTTCCTCACCGCTTACGGGCCCCAAGCTGAAAAACTGACCTAATCATTTTACAGATGGAGGGCGGGTCGCTTCCAAAATGCGGCTCTCACATCTGCGCTGGGCACATTCGTTTCAACCATGTGCAAGAGCTTCACGGATTGAGGGCGGTTTCTTTTCAACATGTGGCTCTCGCCTTAGCGCCCGCCGCGCACACTCGTTTCAAACATTCGCAAGAGTTTTAATGATTGAGGGCGATTTCTGTTGGAAATGTGGTTCTCGCCGCAGCGCAGGGCACATTCGCTTAAAAGAAATCGCAAGGAGTTTCATGAAGTGAAGGCGGCTCCTTTTCAACATGTGGCTCTCGCCTTAGCGCCACGCACATTCGTTTCACAAATATGCAAGAGTTTTAGGGATGGGGGGCGGCTCCTTTTCAGGATGTGGTTCTCGCCTTAGCGCCTCGCGCATTCGCTGTCTTATAAAAGCAGTTCACGGATTGAAGGCGGTTCCATTTCAAAATGCGGTTCTCGCCTTAGCGCCGCGCACGTTCGCTTTAAAAGGATTGCAAAGGGCTTCGCGGAGTGAAGGCGGTTCCTTTTCAAAATGTGGCTCTCGCCTTAGCGCCGCGCACATTCGTTTCAAACATTTGCATTTTTTACGGATTGAGGGCGGCTCCTTTTCAGAATGTGGTTCTCGCCTTGGCGCCGCGCACATCCGTCTTTAAACTTTGCAAGAACTTCACTGGTTCCCAGAACGGTGTTTTGGAACCGATTCTGGATTGTCAGAGCGCAACACTTACGTTGATTCGCGGTGTTGAAGTCTCAGGAATGGTGCTCTGTCACGATGCAGGACCGTCGAGACGTAACAGTCAGGTTGACTCGTGGCGTTGAAGTCCTGAGCACGCCTCCAGATTTTGTGGAAATGAACCCTTGTAGGGGCCTATGAAGAGGGAGCTTGGGGGAGGGTGTATTCCAACATCGTTGATGGGTCTTGGTTCACACTTGTCCTCCTCCTCCTCCTCCTCCTCCTCCTCCTTCTCCTCTTCTTCCTCCTCCTCCTACTCCGCCTCCTCCTGCCGTCAGCCTCCTCCTCCTCCGCCTCCGCCTCCGCCTCCGCATCCTCCTCCTCTGCCTCCTCCTCCTCCTCCTCGCCCTTCTCCTCCTCCCTCCCTCCCACTAGCGGCACGCAGCAATAGGGAGTGGCACGAAGGGGGACAGCCTTCTGAGAGGCCTGAAGGCCTTCCAAGAAGGCAGGGGACCTCTTAGAAGCCCTACCCGCTTCTAAAAAGGCCTCTTAGAAGCCTCGGAAGGTCCCTTCTGCAAAGGTCCCCGCCTTCTCAGAAGGCCGCCTCCCCTCGCGTATCCCCCTGAGGCGTGCCGCCAACCCCGCCCTGCAGCCATGCTCCAGGTGGCTGCGGTGCTGGGTGCAATCGGGACTGATGCCGAGGACAACCCCACCCGAAGTTGCCCCTGATGGTCATCGGGCCACATCTCGGCTCTCCTGGCGCCCCCAGAACGCTCTCGGCAAGGCGCAGCTGCTGAAGGCGCCCCGAGGCTGTACAGTCAACGCGTATCATAAGGACGCACGATAAGGATTGAAGGGCGTTGGAAGGCCATGTTGACGTTTGCCGAGTGGGGCTGGCCAGCGGAAGTGGCCAAAGATGGACCGAAGAGGAAGGATGCAAGGGTCAACCTTGGAAAGTCGCTCATCCTTACCATGCGGGTTGACCGTAGAGCCGCCGCGATCTGGCGAGAGCGCCCGAAAACCGTCCAAACCTCCTCGAACCTCAAGACTCCGTCCCCTCTCGGCGTGGCGTGGTCGCCCGGCTTCGCACTGGGCCGCCGGGCGGCGCGCGCGGTCGCGCCCGACACCTCGCTTCGCGTCCTCTCGAGCCACGCAGCGCTGGAGAGGGGCACAGCGCTCCGGCCCCAGGGCCGCGCGGTGCGCGAGGGCGCGAGGGGTGCTGTCCTCGCCCCTGTCAGGCCTGAGCCAGGTCTAATCTTAGGTCGGGCATGCGGATTTTGGACGAGAAAGTCAAACTAAGTCAAAAAATACCCCAAAATGGTCACAAACAGTCCAAAAATCGCCCTCATACCATGTTTTGACTATCTTTGAATTTTCCTCCTGTAGAGGGACAGGGCCGACTTAAGTCTAATCGCGAAATCGGGTCGGATCGGATCGGGAATGGATCGGATCGCCAACGAGTCACCCCGAAGCGGATCGAAATCGGATCGCCGTGCCCGGCTCCTGCTGGCCCTGGCCGATGCCGGTGGATCGAGCCAACGCGAATCGCGTCGCCTCTAGTCGGATCGCAGGCAGCCCTGCCCTGCGGGGAACCTGGCGCGGGCTCGTCCAAGCAGAAAACTAAACGGCACAGGCAAGAACCGAACACAACGACATCTAAAAAGACACGTCGCTGAAAACAAACAACGAAACGAAGCCCGACACTTACAACGAACGTTTGCAACAAAACCGGTGCCAAAGGAGTCGAAGAACGAAACGAGGCGTCGCGACCAAAAACGAGCAATGGAACGAAGCAGGCGCGAAAAATTCGCCGGCCCAACGGGCCAGAGGCGTGCTAAGATCACTGGTTCACAATTCTTCTATTTCGGGCGCGCGGGGCGGCCACTGGGGGTCCCCCGGCGAAAAGTACCCCGACCGCAGCCCGGGAAGGTCCCGGGAAGGTCCCGGGAAGGTCTACTCAGAGATAACCTCATGCCCGTGAGAATAAACACTAGGGGATAATAAAGTTCGGGGTTCAGGGAGAGATAATAAAAGTAGCCCAGCAAACCTCAGCATAATCTCGAAGTAAGAGATGATCAAGAGGAGACCAAGCCGAGCACGTTTTGAGACATCCTTGGCGTTTAGTTTTCATAGAAATATCCTCGACAATGGCTTATCTCTCATGAAAACTGTTTTTTGTAAGTGCTCGTGTAGGGTAGCTCATGTGCCTCAATTTCCATGGATAATCAACCCCAGGGATAAAAAAGTTCAGGCGAGCGTGAGGACAGATAGAAATATAAAATAAGAAGAGGAAAGTAGAATAATAATAAGAGCATTGCTCGTTTCGTTTGAGTCTGCCTCCCAAATTTATTGGTTTCGCTTGACACATCCTGAAAAAGTGTGATCGCTTCGCTTGATGTTGCTATATCAACATCGCTTGATGTTGCTATCTCAACATAGCGTTTCGAGGTGATAATGAAGTTCGGCCTCAGCGCTCGCCGCCCAATTTGAATTTTGTATAGGGCGACGATAATCAACTCTAAACACTGAAGGGGGGGGGGGGGGTCCCTTTATTATCATCGGCATGCGGTTAGTTTTCCTCCTGGGTACGGCCTCTCAGGCCCCCCAGAGCGCGCCAAGAGGGCCCCAAGAGGCCCCCAAGACAGCTCAAGAGGACCCCGAGACGCCCAAAGGACGCTCCAAGACGCTGCAGATGATCCCAAGACGGCCCAAGAAGCCGCCAAGACGCTCCAAGTGGCCTCCAAGAGGCCTCACAAGAGCGCCCCAAGAGGCCAAAATCATCAATTTTACGATGGTTGTGGAAGGAGTTTGGCCTTGTCGCATTTTCGGCTTTCCGATGCTCCAAGACGGCCCAAGAGGCCCCCAAGAGCGCACGAAGACCCCAAGAAGGCCCCCAGAGAGCCCAAACGGGCCCCGAGACGGCCCAAGAGACGCCCAAGACGGCCCAAGAGAGCCCCAAGACGGCCCCAAGAGGGGCCCAAGATGGGGATTACGAACCAAAACCTCGAGCCTTCCGCCCCAAGAGGGCCCCAGGAGGCCCCGAGAGGCCCCCAAGATGGCCCAAGATGCCGCCAAGAGGCCCTCAGGAGACCCCAGGAGGCTCCAAGGAGGCTCAAAAGAGGCCCTACAAGACTTCAAAAATGTCTCCCAGGCGCCCCCGACCGGCCTCTCAACAGAATGCCATGGAGAGGCTTCCTCCTCCGCCCTTTTCTCTTCCTCCTCCTCCTCCTCCTCCTCCTCCTCATATTCATCTTCATCCTCCTCCGTTCCTTCTCATCCTCTTCTCCTCCTCCCGTCCCCCTCCCCAATCCTCATCTTCCTCCTTCCGGCGTCGCCGAAATGGCCCCGAGCCCGCGCCGAAGCAGTGGCGATCATGCAATACGGGCCGGCGGAGTGAGCGAAGCGATTGAATACAACGAAACACAGACGGCCTGGTGGCCAGCCCCTGGGCGTAAGCATGCACGCTCGGTGGGCCGCGGGGGCTCCTCGGATCGGCGAGGGGCCCCCCTTCGCTGGCGCGTAGCAGCGCCCTCCAGGGGCGGCGCAGCAGGAGCCGCCAGGCGGGGCCCAGCGCATATCCAAGAAATCCGCACGGGCCTGAGGAGGTTCAAGGTGGGGTATGTTACTTCTGTTGGTTTTCTGGAAAGAGCGCTCTTCCATCTGAGTCGCAACGCGCCCCTTGGCCAGCAAGGCCTACCAAGGAGGCGGACCCCCGCTCCCATGATGTTTTTCAACGACTCAATGCCACCACTACAACTCACAACGCAGCTGCCGCTACCACTGCAGCTACAACCGCTATGTTATCATTCGCGTGTCCTCCCGTTCCGAGTAACTTTCAACTTGAGCCAAGTTGGCGTTGAACCAAAATGGCTCGGACAAGCAAGGGGAAAGAGGAGGGAGTAGGAGTAGGAGTAGGAGGAGTAGGAGGAGGAGGAGTAGGAGGAGGAGGAGGAGGAGGAGGAGGAGGAGGAGGAGGAAAGAGGGGGGAGGGGGAGGAGAGGGAGGAGGAGGAGGAGGAGGGAGGAGGAGGAGGCGGGGGGAGGAGGAGGGGAGGAGGAGGATGGAGGGGAGGAAGAGGGGTCACATTTACGCGGGCGCGAATGTGCAATTGTTCGCCCGAGGAGAGGAGGAGGAGGAGGAGGAGGGAGGAGGAGGAGGAGGAGGAGGAGGAGAGGGAGGAGGAGGAGTAGGAGGCGGCGGTCACTCAGCGAGTAAAACAAACCTCGAACCCTGACCACCTCCGAGAAGATGGAGGGACAGCAGCAGCAGCACCAGCATTAGCAGGAGGAGGAAGAGGGGGGATGAGGAGGAAGAGGGGGAGGAAGAGGAGGAGGAGGAGGAGGAGGAGGACGGACGACGAGGAGGAGGAGGGGAGGAGGAGGCGCAGGAACACGAGGAGGAGGGAGAGGAGGAGGAGGAGGAGGGATGTGGACATGAACGAGCACGCCGCGCGCTGCACGTCGTGAGCGCAGCGCCCGCTCGCCCGCGGCAGGCCGCCCCGCGGCGCTAAAGCGCTGGGCTGGACTTCGAGTTCCTCCTCCTCCTCCTCCTTCTTCCTCCTCCTCCTCCTCATCTCCTCCTCCTCCTCCTCCTCCTCCCCCCCCTTCCTCCTCCTCTCCTCCTCCTTCCTCCTCCTCCTCATCCTATCCTCATTATAAAAATAACTAGCCATGGGTGCTCACACCCCAGCTACGCTCGAGCCCAGCCCCCCCCCCCGACAGAAAGCGAAGCGGCGCCAGCGGCGCCGAGCGGGCCGAGCACGAACTCAGCCGAGGAACGAATGCGTGGCCCTGGAGGCCTGCTTCGACTCCGCAGCGAACTGGAAGTCGTCGAAGGAGGTGCGCTTCCTGTAGCAGGCGCCCTTGTTCGCCGCGTGGAAGGCCTGCTCGTCGAAGTCGGTGGCGTCGACCAGGATCGGCACCTGGTACTTGAACTCGCCCGCGCTCCTCGTAGTGATGATCACCGTCTTGTGGACCACCTCGTGCGTTGCCACGACCCTGGCGGTCTTGGCCTTCTTCTTGGCCTGCTGCTGCTGCTCATCCGCCTCGGTCACGTCCTTCTCCTTGGCCATGATGGCGACGAGGTAGGGCACGCAACACTTCGAGTTCAATCCAGTCTCGCCCGAGCCGTCCAGGTACAACCTCAAGCCCCTCTCGCCATCGCCCAATGAGAATGTCGTAGATCGCGTCAGCCTCCTGGCTGTTGTCTCTGTGACAACTTTGCCCCAGAAAGGCAGGGAGCAGCCACCAGACCCCTCCCTGATGAAACTCGGCCTCTGCACAACTGTTGAAGATGCGTCGGCCTTCTTCGCGACGATGTTGCAAGCCACTGCACCGCCATAGGCATCGAACACTAGCCCCGAGAAGTGGATATTCAGCTTGGAGATGACCTCCTTGATCTCTGCCTCGCTGAAGCCATTATCCTCTCTCTCGAGCCTCGCGTGGGTGGCCCACCACTCGTGGAGCTGGACAGTCTCCTAGGCGACTGGGCTAGTCGATAAAACAACCACTTGGAAAATGCATCACGACCTGCGATGCACCTCCAAGTAGACGCGGTGTATCGACAAGGCCCAGTCTCCTCGCGAGGCGGCTGCTCCTGCTGCCGATTTGCGTCCTCATCGGCGCTGACGATCGCAGTCCCCGTGTCCACGTGCTTGGAGCTCCATGCTGCGACCACGCTCTCCATCGGCTGCTGCAGGATCTGCCAGGCACTCTTCTGGGAGGAGTACGTTTTACCAAACTCGGTCATCAGCATGTCGATCGTGGCGTTCTTCACGGCGGGGAACACGTCGGCCTTCTGCAGCTCGGTGTCTTTAGGCAAGACAGCGGTGGACATGCCAACTTTCTGCAAGGCCGTCTTCCAATTGATGCTGGCAGGCCCCCCTGTCACGAGGCTCGCCTTGAACTGCTCCGACATGGACTGGTAGCGCTGGCCATCGTGCTTCAGGCAGTAGTCGTGCTGACTGAAAGCCTCGCCCATGAAGTCGGCCATGGCGCCCTGAGGGAGCGAGGGCAGGCAGGACAGAAATGAAGTCAGAAGGGAAGCGTGCGATGATGCACCATTGGGTGGGCCCGAGGGCTTCGGGCCCATCCAGGTACACCGGGTACCGGGTGGGGGAGGAGCAAAGAACAGAGAGGAGGGTAGGGGCGAATGGTTCATATGTTATATCTGCTGCGCTGTCCTTGAAGCTCTCCTTGCTCGCCATGGCATTGGTGAGCTGGCGAATCTCGCGAGGCATGCCACCCTCGGCGTGGCATGTTTTGTCGACGATGCTCTTGTTGATGAGAACCAGCAGCGACTGGATGAACGTGGCGACCAAGGGCGGGATGTACGGCATGTGTTCCACAGTCGGCCCCTGGCTCACAGCAGTCATTTGAACACTGTAGATACTGATCAGGTGCAGGAAAGCTTGGAGCCTCATGGCGTTGAAGGTGTCCCTCGTAACTTCTTCTGTCAACTTCTTCGCATCAGTAGTCGTCAGCACACCCTGCTTCGAGTGCTTGCGAACCACGTCGATGAAATCCATGGCCGAGCCGAACGAATCGCTGAATATGTCCTGGTGGACATCGCAAGTGAATCGAACCAGCGCCTCGAAGCACTCCTTCTGGCTCGTCCAGGGACTCGCCTTCGCCTCGCACGCGGTGAAGAGCTTGTTTGTCAAAGTCAAGCTGGCCTCCACTATGGCTCGATTCGCATTCGGAGGCCGCTCGAACACCTTGTTGCCGTCGATGTACTTCAGGAGCTCCTTGCAGCTGGTGCAATTCGTATCCTCCAAATCGCGAACATAGGAGTCGGCGATGGACTTGGGCTCGATCTTGCCATCGCCCTGCTTGAACAACTCGTTCTCCACTGCATCGAGGTCGCCCATTGGGAAGTCCTCGTCCGAGATCCTGGGCTGGAGCCTCCTCTTCTTGCAGATATACAGGGTGAAGAGCTGGCGAGTGACCACGATGCTGTTGCTCTTCTTGCGCCTGCCAGCAATGCAGTAGACCAGTTCCTTCTTCTTGTAGGCGAGAGTGGAATAGATTACTGCGCGAAAGAAGCAATCTGCCATGTCCCCAGGCTCAGGTGCCGACCTTTCCAAAGCGTTGAAGCCGAGCTTCTGCTTCTCCAGCACCTTCCAGAACATCTTCTTGTCGCTGTCGCTGAACGTGATCGCATTATGCTCGCTGTTGTTCGGGTCGCGTCCGAGGGCCGACTTGCCTCTCGCCGCCTTCGCCTTCTTCATCGGGACGAGTTTCGTCTTCGGAGTCTTGGCCGCGGCCGTGCCACAGTTGCCCTTCTCGATGCTGTCCATTGTCTTCGTCCCCGACATGTCCCTGATAAGCTCCTTGATGTTGTTTTCCTGCACCTCGTCGCTTCGCAAAACTGGGATGCCATCGGGGATGAAGGTGCTCACGAACTTGAACTTGCCATCACGAGGGGATCCCAACATGGCTATCTCGACGATAGCCTCGGGGGCATCACGCTTGAGAATCCTCATGGCGTCTGCGACCAGCTTGAACCAGAACTTGTAGTTCGCTGGGACCAGGGCTGCACCATCAACCTCATCTTTGTATCGCTGTGAGATGGCCTCCCAGATGGTGGACCCTGCATGCCGCCCAGACTCGATCTTAATAGTGTTCGCATCCTTGTAGAAGGTGCTGCAACGCTCGTACTCAGGGTACCTGGCCCACTCGTAGTTCTCGGACATGTTGTTGACCAGCTGCAGCTTCTCCTCGTCGATCTGCTTCTGGGTGTGGGAATCCTTCGTGATATGCTTGCCGTCTCTGTGGCGGACCCAAGCTGCCTCGTACACCGCGCAGCCGTCCAAGATCTGCAAGGGGGTGGTCGATGTGATATCGTCGTTGCCCTTGTTGTACCAATGTACTAGGAACTTGGCACAGTCCCTCGGGAGACTCCGAAGGTACAGTGTGCAGCCAGGGATATCCATCAAAAGCGAGGCTTGCACTAGTCGGTTCTGTTTGCCCGCATCAGCTTTCATAGCCTCGTTGAGCCCCTCGAAGAGGGTGCCCCACGACAACGTCTGGAACTCATCGTCTTTGGCCCCGTCGGCATGCTGAACCAGCACAGGTGCCGATCGCCAATCGAGCCGAAGTCCAAAGGTTTCGACCGACGTTCGCTTCCTCTCGACTGAGCCCTTGTCGCCCCTGAGGCAATTCTCGGCGTGCCTCGCGAGCGCGAACATGCCGGCCTTGGTAGTCGGCTTGATGGTGTGGTTCGCGCTCACACGAAAGTTGTCGTTGACCCACTTAAGCATCTCCACGTCGCTCCAGTTTGTCCCGAGCCTATCCTTGATGTGACGGAAGCAATCCCGTCGGTCGTCGCACCGAATCTCTCGGATTTGGCCACCCTGGCCCTGCTCCATCGCAGGCACCAGCGCCATAGTCGCTACTGTCGCCCCACAGTGGAGCCTCCGCTGTTCGAACAAACCTCGCAATGTAAGATGCTCGTCGCCAGCGCGAGCACTGCAGGAGCCGAAACGGCTACAAGGAGGAAGAGGAGGATGATGAGGCGGTGTTAATGCTGATACTGATGATGCAGTGATGATGCTGATGCTGATGGCGGTGATGATGCTGATGATGTTGATGCTGATGGCGCGGTGATGATGCTGATCCCTCTCCTCCTACTCCACCACAGTGGAGTTTCCCCAGGTCTCCTCAGTTTCCCCAGCTCGGGCCTCTGTGCTGAACCTATAATGGGTCCTTTTCGGGGCACCTCTGCTGAACCTATTTGTTTCCTGACGAAATCGTGGCGCGACGGACGAGACATGCTTCGCACTCGTGAAAACACGTGGTTTTCAACCAAACATGGGGTGTGCAATTCTGGGCCGTTTGGACCCCAAAATTGCACATGGCGCTTTCCTACGTTCAATGTATGAATTTATAGCATTTCCACACCCGCGGGAGGCGCAGGAACAAATATCGTCGCGAAACCCAAAGTCGGGGCTTGGAAGTGGGGAAGGACGCTGAAGGGCGATACTCAGGCAAATTTTTGAAATTTGCCTGAGCATCGCCCCTCAGTGTTTTTCGCCCCCGACGCTGGCCCCCCGCCGTTCGCGAAAACGCTGAAGGGCGATACTCAGGCAGATTTTTGAAATTTGCCTGAGCATCGCCCCTCAGTGTTTTTCGCCCCCGACGCTGGCCCCCCGCCGTTCGCGAAAACGCTGAAGGGCGATACTCAGGCAGATTTTTGAAATTTGCCTGAGCATCGCCCCTCAATGTTTTTCGCCCCCGACGCTGGCCCCCCGCCGTTCGCGAGGAGGAGGAGGAGGAGGTGGAGGAGGAAGAGGGGCCACATTTACGCCGGCGCGAATGTGCAATTTTTCGCCCGAGGAGGAGGAGGAGGAGGAGGAGGAGGAGGATAGGGAGGAGGAGGAGGAGGCGGCGGAGGGCAACAATCACCATGACGCACGAGGACGAAGCAAAATAAAGGCAGGGCGGGAGCATCGACGCTGATCCCTGCCTGCGCGTGCCTCTCGTTAGCACCAACTGTGACGATGCAGTGCAACGCATTGCTGCCAAAATGGCCTTCCGAACAAGCCCCCCACAGGGTGCGATTTCCAGCCAGCTGGAAATCGGCATCTTGATTTCCAGCCAGATCGTTACATAGCTGGAAATCAGCATGCCGATTTCCAGCTGGCTGGAAATCAGCTCCTGAGGCGCCCTATTTTTTAGCCAATGGCGAACGCCTCTACATCACCTTCCCCACTCTATGTTTATTCCATCCACCCCTCCCATCTACCGTGTAACCAATGATCGACCACTACTTTGCCACACCCAAGTGCCATCTGGTAGGTCATACACCGTCCACACCACCATCCACCCCCTATCTGCATTGTCGTTGTTTTTGTTGTGTGATCTCACTTTGTTGTTTGTGTATGTTGTGTCTTTGTGTTGTTATTTGGTGTTTGTTGTTTCTTTTGTGTTTTTTCTCACTGCTTCTGCTTGGCAGCACAGAACTCGCACAAGAAGGAATGCGGTTTCGGATGGGCGTCACGGCCCTCGCCATGTCCATCCGTGTGAAGCGAGGCGCCCGTCGTCACAGCATCGCACTTGGCACAATCTTCGTGCCACGAAGTCAAGCACATGTAACAAACAAACAAATCTGCACTGGATACACCAGCAAGCTGGTCCACACCAGCTGCCCGAGCAGCTTCGCAAACAACGCAACTTGCATTCTGAGCAGGTAGCGAATCGACCATCCATGGGCCACCAAATACTTCTATGTCTACCAAGAACTTGCATCGCACTGCCCATGCTGGCATGCAATGTGTCTCTCCCAACTTGTACTTCCCACGAGATTGTATCCCACCAGTTCTTGAAATCAATATCTCTGACTCTGCATGGTTCACCTCAGGGACACTGGCGGCAACAATAGTCTTAATGCGATTACGTCTGTCCAGACTGGTTCGCCTGCCCATTTTCGCAACAACTACCCTGGTCCAATAAAGGTATAGAGTCTCCCCATCCTTCGTTCGTACAAGGCTAATGTCTTCATATGCTCGCACTGGTAACTTCCTGTTGTCAGCCATCTGCTTCCATAGCCCACGCACCTCGGCGAAACCTTTCGCCACGAGAGAAGCAACATCTGCAACAATCCCGACCGCCCGATCTGCAGCTATATCAAGAGGCATGTGTGATGTCATGGGCGCTGGGCCAGGGCCAGGGCCTTCTGGCTGCCCAGGCTCTGGCTCCAGCAACTCGTCCATCGGCTCGCGAAGTTCTCCTCCCTCGTCCATGTCGCCAGCACACACGTCATCGGCCACGCCCGCAGGGTCATCGTCGCCGTCCAACACGTCGATGCCCATTTCCAGTAACTCAGTGAGACCCTGTTCCAACCCGTCGCCATCATCGTGGCCCCCGCCATAATGGGGCACTGGTCCATCAGGCTCAGGAGGCCCAGGCCCACCCTTAGGCTTAGGCTGCCTAGGGGCCCTGGCTGGAGCAGGCTTCACTTTGAAGTGTTTCCGATCGGCTAGTTCCAGACTAGGCGTCGCCATTGAAGTCCATGCAACTGGGCATCTAAACACCGACATCTCGACAGCGCCCAATGGATCTGCACGAGCAAGAAGCATGGCGATGACACCTTCCGTCAGCATCTCTATCCGCACAGAATCTTCAAACTTGAAAGTAAACTGACCTGGGTGAGTCTGCTCAACAACGCCATGCGCAACAAACTGTCTGGAATAATACGACCAGCAAATCAGGAACACAGGCGACCCCACAGCGAACTCCCTCCAGCTCCATGCGAACTCAAGACCAGAACCACAAACCACCTTGTTGACGAGTGTATTCTCGAAACGCACCGCTAGTGCATCGACATCACGAGCATAGTCTCCATCAAGTTGTCTTGTAGCCTCCCTTGGCACTGGGGCAACACGTGCCAACCACCTGTTGGCATGCTCCTGCGTCCCCATGAACTGTACAACCTGTGTGTGCAACTCAACTGCCTCTTTGACGCTGATAGAATCGCCAATCTTGTTCCTCAGTCTGTCCGAAACCCCAGGAAGTTTGGATCGCACCCCTCGCTTGGCTATAGATTGCAATACTGATATATGCCCCTCAACAGATTGGTTTTGATATGGAAGGCGCGCCCTATACAGTAAGAGAAACGCATAGAGCGGTACAGGGCAACGCCCAGCATCTTGAGCAACTCGCAAACTGTCGAAATACCAACGCTTGAGCTTCAGAGGGACGTCAGTAAACATTGCACTCGGCACCCCGTCAAACTTATCATCAGGTGTCTCCAGAAGTCGCCTAGCTATCACCTTCCTGCGGTCGTCGGGCTCGTCGTGCTTACTCTCTAGCATGGCCACGATAGAAAAGTGGATGTCGTCAAACACTTTCTCGAAACGAAAGTCCCAAGATGCCACCAACACCAAAAGTAAAGATACGATGAGCTGCCTCCCACGCTGGAAGAGATGATGAGGCAGGGTATCCCACACCGGTTTGAACGCACAGTGTTCATCAAACAAAAGCTCTACCATTTCGTTTCGAATATCGATCCGCTTCGCAGAAACCAGAGATGACAATGGCGTTGGCCCGAGGTATGTTGTGCCAGCTCGCTTGGCCTCGTCGCATGCAGATGCGTGTTCTTTGGAAGCCTTTTCAACCCACAGCTGAAAATGAACCAATGGTCGCCGAGTGATAGAAGATATAAACACCATTGCCATAAATGTATTGTTCTGCGTCAACTTCGCTGAGAGGCGTCTGACAGACCTCCGCTTCTGTGCGAAATCCTCGTCCTCCTGTTGCCCTGGGTCGTGTTTTTTCTTTCGCGGAGGCGTTGGATCCACAGTTGGATGATCCACATCTGCTATCGGCGCTGGTTCCTTTGAACCACAATAATAACCCCACAAACTCCCAAACACCTTGCCGATGAAAGGTGATGATTTGCAAATGAGTTGTTCCACAGAGTCGATGGAGAGCCAGCGGCCTCGAAGGCAACGCCCAGGGATAGCAGAGAAAGACTGCACTGCCACTGCGCTCGAAAACGCGTTCTCTGCTGCCCTCTTGATTTTCGATGGGGCCCCAGGTGATCTCCACTGGTTAGCTATGTTCGACACTCCATTGAAATATGTGGTAGCAGGAATTTCGTTCACACTTGCACCCTCCCATTCCCAATTATCGAGAACCTTGATCATGGCCTTTGCGACAAGCTGCGCTCGATGGAGCAGGCAAAAAGACCACACATACATGACAGAAGGGCAGTCGCGCAATGAACTCTTGACTCGGCGAGCCATGCCAATATTATCTGGCCCAGCATCTGTGCCAAAACAAAACACTGCAGGCCCAATGCCAACGCCGCCTGCCTGCGAAGCCAGACGTGCAAAGTCTTCCCACGTTTGAGCTCCTACGCTCTTGAGCTCAGAAACCACTAAGTTGTACGTCTCGGCCCCAGTGGAGTGGTGAACAACTTGGAGATCACCTGCTGTTTTCACGGTGGATACTTCGCCCGACAATGCCGAAACATCTAACACGCCATTCTCTGAAACCACAGCCTCGATAGACTCCTTGGAAACTGTAGAAGATGTGAATATGCTCACATGAACTTTTTCTTTCTCAACTGCCTCCTGCTGCGACCCGTCAAAGCAACACTCGATGAAATTTAAATCAGACAGTGCCAAACCAGCGTGTTGCTCTCGATGCCGCGCATATTTTGCCAGAGAAAGGTAATGCTCGAACCTGGAGACAGTGTGGGAGTCGCTCACACCCCCTTGGTGGGCATCGCCAGCCACCATCGCACACGTCGTAGAAAGAGAAGCACAACCAAGAGTTTTCTTTACAGCCAAAGTGTAGCCACCGATTAAACTGACATGCTTGCCTGGACCACTCCTGAATTGTGTCATCGCAACCAACTCGTTGTGATCATCTCTAAGGCATGCAATCTGC